AAAAAAAAAAAAAAAGAACGAAAGATAATTTGCAAACAAATTTTAAAACTTATTCTATGTCTCTAGAGTATTCTCTGGGCTTCTAGAGTAAACTGGATTTTTGGAAACATCCCAAAGCCACATTTAGATCCAAGTCTGAAAATACTAAATGATCTAGTTGTCAAAAATCAAAATGGTGGCCGGGCATGGTGGCTCAAGCCTGTAATTCCAGCACTTTGGGAGGCTGAGGTGGGAGGATCGCTTGAGACCAGGAGTTCAAGACTAGCTTGGACAACATAGTGAGATCCTATCTCTATTTAAAACAAACAAACAAACAAACATTCAAAATGGTTAGAAGTTAATGAGGATGATTCTCATGGGTATTCCAAAATACACTATCGTTGAGAGTCTGCAAGTATTCCTAGTGTCATCCCATAAGAATGCACCTTGTGTTCTAGTCGCTGCTCATATGCCATTTTGTTTCACAGGAATAGTATATAAAAATTTAATATATTATAAAATTGACATCAGAAATCAGAAACAGAAGGGAGATTTACTAAATACACAGTGATGGGGCTGCTGACCATCTAAAATAACTTAGATTCCTAATTTTCATTGGTGTGTCTCAAATTTCAAGCATGCCATCTCTTTTCACAGGGAGGAAAAAGCCCGTAACACTTGAAGGTTAACTTAATATATACTTATTTTAATATTTTTTATATTTTTATCAACATAAAATAGGTAAATATACTTACAGTTCACATACAATAATAAATGCTAAAACATTTACAAATTAAATTAAAACAAAAATAAAACCAATAAAATGGAAATTAACCATCATTAACATAACAAATAATGCTGTTTTGTTCAAATAAAAATACTTTGCTCAAACGAAGTAAATCACAAGTATTTGGTTTAATAGCAAAAAGCTGTAGTTTCAGATCCCATTCTGTAAACTGAGTAGTTTTACTTTAATAATAATGTTGAGAATGCTTGTTCACATAAGTATCTTATTCAAACTAGTATTGATCAATTCAAGCCTTTCTTTCCTCTTTTAAGGTAATTAGAACACTAGTAATATATATATAGTAGTATATATATATTTTGTTGTTTTTTTTTTGTTTTGTTTTTTTTTTTTTGAGACTGAGTCTCATTCTGTTGCTCAGGCTGGAGTGCAGTGGTGCAATCTCAGCTTACTGTAACCTCTGCCTCCTGGTTCAAGCAATTCTCCTGCCTCAGCCTCCTGAGTAGCTGGGACTACAGGTGTGTGCCACCATACCTAGCTAATTTTTGTATTTTTAACAAAGACCAGGTTTTGCCATGTTGGCCAGGCTGGTCTTGAACTTATGACCTCCATTATCTACCCACCTGGGCCTCCCAAAGTGCTGGGATTACAGGCGTTGAGTCATCGCGCCTGGCCAAGAACTGAATATTAACCAAACCCATCAAATGGCAGTCATTAAATGCCAATTTTTAAATAGGTGTAAATTGATAGATTTTGAAGATTAACAATTACTATTGTTAATCTTCATTGCCTAATAATGATTGAAACTAATTAGTTTTAGATTTAGAATGGAAACATTTTTTGCTATTTATTTGCTAACATACTTATTGCTAAGGAACTGTTGCAAGTTACTCTGTAGAGGAGACTTACAACAGGATAGTACTGACTCTTGCAGCACAGATGTTTTCTGAGTAATGTAAGATTCTGATCATCATGCCAAAAAACAAATCAGGTATATTATGTGTACAACAACAGCGCACCATCATTTTTCTCATTTTCATATAATCTGCGTTCTGCAGCATCAATAGCTTTATTTTTTTTCAGATCAGATTTTAATTTTGAGTACTTAACACTATTGTTGATGTGCATTTCACTTTCTTCATGTTTACTAAGAATATGTGATAAATGTTGCCAATCTTTGCAACCATTTTCATTTTTCAGTTGATTTTTTCCTTCCCCAAAGAGTCTGCAATATAGACAAAACACAGAATCTTTTGAGGTCGAATAAAGTAACCAGGATCTAGTGGTTTTTTCACCGTTTGGAAGAATCCGTGTATAATAAGTTTCTGAAAACTTTCTGCCTGTATTATCTTTTGGAAAGTTAAAATTTCTTACTTGAGGCGGAACATTTTCAACAAGAGTGTCCCGTTGTTTAATATTCAAAATTCGGGGCCACGTACCTGGATCTGCGGAAAGCACAACTGGTACAATGGAGTCTTCAAAATTTTTCTCTTCCAGTTGCTCTTGAAATGTACCAGCTATGGCTGACGCGGAAGAAGGAGGTAAATTCACATTCTCTTTGATCAGTAATGTATCCGTGCCACATTCTACCGAAAGGTGTAGCTCTGAAATCTTTTCCTTTTTTTCTGTGATTCCATCTATTTTTTTCAAAAGTGTACTTGACGATCCACAGAATTGTTTCTCATTTTCTTCTCTAACAGCATTCCTTTTTCTATTTTCTGATGCTGTTAATTTTTTTGATTTTGTTTCCATCATCTGAGGACAAAGAGGATAGATTACAATTTTACTTTAGGTTAAACTTTAAAAAATTAATGTATATTCAAATGCTCAATAAGCACATGCTCATCATTAGGCATCAAAGAAATGCCTATCAAAAAGACAATGACGACCAGGTGTGGTGGCTCACGCCTGTAATCCCAGCACTTTGGGAGGCCCAGGCAGGTGGATCATTTGAGGTCAGGAGTTCGAGAACAAGTCTGGCCAGCATGGTGAAACCCTGTCTCTACTAAAAATACAAAAATTAGCCAGGCCATACTGGCATGTGCCTGTAATCCCAGCTACTCGGGAGGCTGAAGCAGGAAAATCGCTTGAACCCAGGAGACAGAGGTTAAGCTGAGCTGAGATCGCAGCACTGTACTCCAGTCTGGACGACAGAGTGAGACCCTGTCCCAGAAGAAGAAGAAGAAGAAGAAGAAAAAAAAAAGGTAACAATGTACCACTTCATACTGAAGAAGATGGCTATCATAAATAGAGAATGAGGCTGGGTGTGGTGACTCACGCCTATAATCCCAGGACTTTGGGAGGCTGAGGCGGGTGGATCAGCTGAAGTCTGGGGTTTGAAACCAGCCAGGGCAATATGGTGAAACCCCGTCTCTACTAAAAATACAACATTTAGCCGGGCCTGGTGGGGCAGGTACTGGTAATCGCAGCTACTCGGGAGACTGAGACACAAGAGACCTCACTTCAACCCTGGAGGCAGAGGTTGCAGTGAGCTGAGATCATGCCACTGTACTCCAGCCTGGGCAACAGAGCAAGACTCCATGCTTTAAAAAAAAAAAAAGGAGAACGAAAGTCTTGGCAAAGATGTGGAGAAACTGGAACCTCTCTAAGATCCTGGTGGGAAATGTAAAGTGGCGTAGCCACTTTTGAAAACTGTCTGGCCCAAAAAAACAAAATCAAAAGACAAAAAATAAATTAGATGAGTGTGGTAGCAGGTGCCTATAATCCAAGCTACTCAGGAGGCTGAGACAGGAGAATTGCTTGAACCTGGAAGGCGGAGGTTGCAGCCAGCTGAGATCATGCTACTGCACACCAGCCTGGGTGACAGTGGGAGACTTCGTCTAAAAACAAAAAGATGAAAACTGGAAGTTTGTCGAAGTTTAAACAGAGTTACCATATGACCCAGCAATTCCACTCCAAGGTATATACCCAAAAGAAATAAAAATATATGGACACACAGGCCAGCCACGGTGGCTCACGCCTGTAATCTCAACACTTTGGGAGGCCCAAAGTGGGTGGATCGCGAGGTGAGGAGTTTAAGACCGGCCTAACCAAGATGGTGAAAACCCAACTCTACTAAAAATACAAACATTAGCTGGGTGTGGTGGCGGGCGCCTGTAATCCCAGCTACTTGGGAGGCTGAGGCAGAAAATTGCTTGAACACGGGAGGCAGAGGTTGCAGTGAGCTGAGATCTCACCACTGCACTCCAGCCTGGGTGACAGGAGCAAGACTCCGTCTCAAAAAAAAAAAAAAAAGTATGTCCACACAAAAACTTAGACACAAATGTTCATGGTAATATTACTCATAATAGTCAAAAAGTAGAAACGACTCAAATGTCCCATCACAGATGAAAGAATAGATATAAATACAGTATTATCTATGCAATGGATAAAAACAAATGAAGTACTGATGTATGCTACAACATGGGAAAAAATTAAAAATAGTATGACACATGAAAAAACTAGTTGCGAAGTACTTGTGTGATTCTATTTATGTGAAATGTCACACAAGAGGCAAATTTATAGGCAGAAGATAGACTAACAGTTGCCTAGAACTTTAGAGGAGTTGGAGTTGAAAAGGGGACTGTTAATAGATAGGGGGTTTATTTTTGGGATGATGAAAATGTTCTAAGATTGGTGAATTTTAGGGTATGTTAACTACATCTCAATAAAGTGGTTATAAAAACTAATGTGAAAGTCACTAAAATTTAACAGCAATTAATTTTAATGGTGAAATTTCCATAAATAATCCCTTCAATACATGGGCCCAAACACACACAAATATGAAGAGAGAGCTCTAATTCAGGTATACATACTACTTTGTTCATCAATTATTAATGATGAGTGATTACTTTTTAAATAGGTCATAAATACTTTGGGATTTAAAGTGAGTACTAAGCATACTATTTTAGTTCACTAATACAAAGAACATTTTTAAAATCTGATTTTAATTGAAACAATGTGCTTAAAAAAATCTCCTTGCTCAAAAGCAGACCATTTAGATGTTGCTAGATTAACACTGTAAATTCAAAGTAGTATGTATGTGTATTAACATTGTTAAATAAGGTCACCGTATCTGTCAGAAATTTAATTTTTTTTTAACATTTTATTACCATTTACTGAAATCTGTTGTAATAAAGACACATTATCTATTTTGTTGTCAATAAAATTATAATAAAAACACTAAAAAGATTTAACATAATAAAGATGTATAAAATGTGAATGGCATCCTATTAGCTATACACAACACAACTTGAGTACCATATGCAATGCAGTGAAAGAAAATAAAAATGGACTTGTTCTGTTTCATTCTGAAAGTAATGTGGCAGCTTTAAAGTAAAAAATGCAGAGGTGTGGGCCAGGTGCGGAGGCTCACGCCTGTAATCCCAGCACTTTGGGGGGCAGAGGCGGGTGGATCACCTGAGGTCAGGAGTTCAAGACCAGCCTCGCCAACATGGTAAAACCCCCATCTCTACTAAAAATACAAAAATTAGCCAGGCGTGGGGGCGCGCACCTGTAATCCCAGCTACTCGGGAGGCTGAGGCAGGAGAATTGCTTGAACCTGGGAGGCGGAGGTTGAAGTGGGCTGAGATTGTGCCATTGCACTCCAGCCTGGGAGACAGAGTGAGACTCTGCAATCAATCAATCGATGCAGAGATGTGATATGATCAGATAAATAAATGCAAAGATGTGACATGATCAAATTTGTCCTTTGGAAAGATTGCTGTAATTGTATTATGAATTCTCAACCTTATGTAAGGAAGCAAGCAGCACACCGATCAGTCAAGAAACTATAGTAGTAATTCTGGCAAAAGATGATGTTAGCTACTGTCTAGGACTTATACGCAAGGTAGAGAATACGAGTTGAGCAAGTCTCAGGGCAGAGGTAAACTTTGGATAGTTGGTAATTGATTGGTTCTAGGGGCTAAGGAAAAAGCCAGGAAGAGTAAAACAATGACCCTAAAGTCATTCCGGCAATGGAGCATTTCTGGGTGATTATGGGCTTCAGTTACTGATATAGGAAACAAAAGGAACACCAGGTTTGGAGCTCCAGTTTGCAACACCAATGAGCTGTCAATCTTTCCAATGGATGGATGGCATATAAGGCGTGGTCCCGTAAGAGTACTACACGGAGCTGAAAAATTCCTATCACCAGTGATGTTGCGCAGCAATGCCCAACACACACCACTACAAACCGTTTGTCGAACAAACCTACTAGTGCTGACAGGCATACCAAAGATAGCACGATCGAAGCAATACCATACTTAATAAGCAATGAGCTCACTGCTTATGTATTTACTATCTTTTTTTTTTTCGTTGTTCTGAGACGGAGCTCGCTCTGTTGCCTCCGCTCGATGCAGTCCCGCGATTCTTGGCTCACTGCAAAGCTCCGCCTCCGGTTCACCAGTGTCTCCTGCCACAGCCCTGCCCGAGTGAGGCTGGGACTACAGGTGCCCGCACCACGCCCGCTAATTTGTTTTTTTGCATGTTAGCTAGAGATGGGGTTTCACCCGTGGTCAGGCCAGGGATGGTCCGCCATCTCGCTGACGCGGTCGGATCCCGCCGCGCCTCGCCTCCCCCAAGTGCTGGAATTGCGACAAGCCTGGAGCCACCGCGCCCGGCCTATTCTTTATTTTTTTAAAGAGATGAGGTCTCATTACATTGTCCAGGCTGGAGTGCAGTGGCTATTCACAGGCATGAACAGATACACACAGTGTATCCAGCTTATACAGAAGTATTTCAGAAGGCGGCATTGTTATCAAAGGAGAGGACAGCTCCATACATGTTACTGTCCCTGAACACTGAAATGGAACAGGGACCCCCTGTGGGCATCCCCAAGCATAAAAATAAAGGAAAACCTTGAGTTCCTTCAAGGGAAATTCCAGGCACCTAGCTAGCCTTGAAAAGTAAATGAGTAAATTTTAAGCAAAAAGGTAATAATAGCTTAAAACAACAGCTGGGAAAGTTAAAGAGTCAGATGTTTTCTTCCCTAGAGAAACTAAAGTTAACATCTTAATATATGTCCCTGAGTTGTTTTTCAAAACTCTGGACCTCTACCAAAAGTCTGCTGGCATCCACTGGCATGTGGACCCCAGATAAAGGGGAACTGAGGACTGAACTCTGACCACTATTCTTTTTTCTAAATTTCTTCCTAAGGAGCTTGGAGGAGGGCATGCCCATAGGCCAGAGCTAACATTCTTTTCTGCTGATTCCAATTTTTTTTTTTTTTTTTGAGATGGAGTCGCTCTGACGCCCAGGCTGGAGTGCAGTGGCGCGATCTCGGCTCATTGCAAGCTCCGCCTCCCAGGTTCAGGCCATTCTCCTGCCTCAGCCTCCCGAGTAGCTGGGACTACAGATGCCTGCCACTACACCCAGCTAATTTTTGTATTTTTAGTAGAGATGGGGCTTCACCATGTTGGTCAGGCTGGTCTCAAACTCCTGACCTCAGGTGATCCACCCGCCTCAGCTTCCCAAAGTGCTGAGATTACAGGCATGAGCCACCACACCTGGCCGGAGATTATTGAACCAAAGCAGATATAAATCTTGGCCTCAGGGGACTTCTTGGCTTCTTGGGTGGGGGATGAGGCACATGTGTACGTAAATATTCCTATCAGAGGCAACAGTGCACACTAATGAAGGTTTCTATTGGAGGCAATAGTGTACATGAATGATGTGGGTCAAATCTAGCAGTGTGACTGGGGTAAATGCTCTCCAAACTTCAGTATCTTTAACACTTTAAAATTACATATATAGGCCAGGTAAAGTGGCTCATGCCTGCAATTCCAGCGCTTTGGGAGGCCAAGGCGGGCAGACTGCTTGAGCCCATGAGTTAAAAACCAGCCTGGGCAATATGACAAAACCCCACAAAACCCCTGTAGGCACGCACCACCACACCCGGTTAAAACACAAAAGTTAGCAGAGTGTGGTGGCACAAGCCTGCAGTCCCAGCTGCTCCGGAGGCTGAGGTGGGAGGATCACTTGAGCTGCAGGTTGCAGTGAGCAGAGCTCAAGCCACGGCATTCCAGCCTGGGTGACAAGAGGGAGTGACCCTGTCTCAAACAAACAAAACAAAACAAAAAAACAGATATATTTAGTATAAAACACCAACTAGTCATACCAGGTTAATTAAAACAAATAGGAGTTCCCTACCACCTCTACCCACTTCCCCTTTACCAGAAGCTAACCACTTACAACCTTTTAAAATAAAACAATTTTTAAAATACATACCATTTAAAAAATATATATATATTTTTTGAGATAGTCTCGCTCTGTCATTCAGGCTGGAGTGCAGTGATGAAATCATGGTTCACTCGCTTGCAGCCATGACCTCCCAGGCTCAAGCGATCCTCCGAGCTCAGTCTCCCAAGTAGCTGGGACCACAGGGGCATGCCATGCCAGCTAATTTTTCGGTTTTTTTTTTTTTTTGTAGAGACAGGGGTCTCACCAGGTTGCTGAGGTTGGTCTTGAACTCCTGGGCTCAAGCAATCCTCTTGCCTCAGCTTCCCAAAGTGCTGGGATTACAGACATAAGCCATTACGTCTGGCAAAAAAAATGTTTGAAGACAAGGCCTTGCTTTGTTGCCCAGGAGGAGTACAGTGGCTATTCACAGGTGTGATCCCAGTGCACTGTAGCCTCAAACGCCTGGACTCAAGTGACCCACTCACCTCAGCCTTTCTAGTAGCTAGTATTACAGGTACACGCCACCATGCCCAGCACTTACATAACTTTTCTAGCTGATTCTTTGGTTATTTATTTCCAAATCTCAAAGTTACTTGTTCGTATCACTATTTACTGACCTTTTTTTTTCCTCCCAGCTTTAGGTATTGACTTCTCGATGAGGAAGATGAAAATTTTGCTTTCCTTCCTCTCACCATGCTCACCATACACTCATCACCCATCCACTTATCTTTGGTTGCAGGATTTCTTGGACAAGATGATTATTTGTTGTGAGGGACTGTGCTGTGCACTGCAGATGTTTTGCAGCACCTCTGGACTCTATCCACTAGATGCCAGCAGCAACCCTCAGGTGTGACAGTCACAAATGTTTCTAGACATTGCCAAATATCCCCATGGGGACAAAAATCATCCCTGATTGAGAGGCACTGGCTTAGATCAAGATTCTGTCTTTACATTTTATGACGTGTATGTTATTCAGCAATAAGCCACGAAGTGCAAGATTTCAGTTTTTTCTTACGGTGTTCACATATTACTAAGGCTTTCTGTGTTGGCCTTTTCAGAAGGCTGCCACTAATCACTCGAAAATACTCACGTGGTTGGGGTGGAGTGGGGAAGCACATTTCTAAAACGTAAAACTTTCTGATTATACAGAAATATCATGCCTATATTTGGCAACTATTAATTCATTTGTTTATTATTATTATTTGAGACAGGGTCTTCTCTGTTGCTCAGGTTGAAGTGCAGTGACGTGATCTCGGCTCACTGTAACCTCTGCCTCCTGGGCTCAAGTGATCCTCCCACCTCAGCCTTCCAAGTACCTGGGACTACTGGTATGAACCACCATGCTTGGCTAACATATAATTTTCTGAGACAGTCTCACTCTGTCACCCAGGCTGGAGTGCAGTGGCGCCATCTCGGCTCACTGCAACCTCCGCCTCCTGGGTTCAAGCGATTCTCCTACCTCAGCCGCCAAAGCAGCTGGGACTACAGGTGTGTGTCACCACACCTGGCTAATTTTTTGTAGAGACAGGGGCTCACCATGTTGCCCAGGCTGGTCTCAAACTCCTGAGCTCAAGTGATGAACTTGCCTCAGCCTCCACAGGTGTGAGACACCTCGCCTGGCCTTTGCCAACTGTTGATGAGTTACTTTTTCTTTTCTTTTTTGAGACGGAGTCTCGCTTTGTCCCCCAGGCTGGAGTGCAATGGTGTGATCTCGGCTCACTGCAAGCTCCACCTCCTAAGTTCTCGCTATTCTCCTGTCTCAGCCTCCTGAGTAGTTGGGACTACAGGTGCCTGCCACCATGCCTGGCTAATTTTTTGTATTTTCAGTAGAGACGGCGTTTCACCATGTTAGCCAGGATGGTCTTGATCTCCTGACCTCATGATTGACCTGCCTTGGCCTTCCAAAGTGCTGGGATTACAGGCGTGGCCACCATGCCCAGCCTATTTTTCTTTTTTTTTGAGACAGGGTCTTGCTCTGTCACGAAGACTGGAGTGCAATGTTGTGATCACAGTTCACTGCAGTCCTGACCTCCCAGGCTCAGGCCATCCTTTTGCCTCAGGCTCCGAAACAGCTGGGACTACAGTCATGTGCCACCATGCCTGCTAATTTTTTATTTTTTGTAGAGATGGAGTCTCACTATGTTGCCCAGGCTGCTCTCCAACTCCTGGGCTCAAGCAATCCTCTTGTCTCTGCCTCCCAAAGTGCTGGGGTTACAGGTGTGAGCCACTGTGCCCCACTGAGTTACTCTGTATTACTGAAGTACACACGGTAGAATGAGCACTTCATTCTAGGGATCAGAGTAGCAAGCAAGTGATTTAAGAAAATCTAGGCCAGGTGTGGTAGCTCACGCCTATATTCCCAACACTTTGGGAGCCGAGGCAGGTAGATCACCTCAAGTCAGGAGTTCGAGACCAGTCTGGCCAACATGGCAAAACTCCATCTCTATTAAAAACACAAAAATTAGCAGGGCATGGTGGTGCGCACCTGTAATCCCAGCTACTCAGAAGGCTGAGGTAGGAGAATCGCTTGAAGCTGAGAGGCAGAGGTTGTAGTGAGCTGAGATTGCGCCACTGCACTCCAGCCCGGGTGACAGAGCGAGACTCCGTCTCAAAAAAAAAAAATATATATATATATATACACACACACACAGAGAGAGAGAGAGAGAGAGAGAGAGAGAGGCATATGGCTGCCTAGTTTCGACTATGCATATTTCTTTTTTTTTTTTTTCTGAGACGGAGTCTTGCTCTGTCACCCAGGCTGGAGTGCAGTGGCGTGATCTTGTCTCACTGCAACCTCCGCCTCCCTGCAACCTCTGCCTCCCAGATTCAAGCGATTCTCCTGCCTCAGCCTCCTGAGTAGCTGGGATTATAGGTGTTCACCACCACAGCCTGGTTAACCTTTTGTATTTTTTGTAGAAACAGGGTTTCACCATGTTGACCAGGCTGGTCTTGAACTCCTGACCTCAGGTGATCCGCCTCCCTTGGCCTCCTAAAGTGCTGGGATTACAGGCGTGAGCCACCGCGCCCAGCTATTTTTTCTTTTTTTAAAAAAAAAAGAAGAAAAAAAATTTTTCCAAATACATTTATTTTATAAAATACATGTATCCAGAATAATACAAAGAACTCCTACAACTCAGTAATAAAAAGACAATTCAATAAAAAAAAAAATGGGCTGAAGACCTGATAGACAAAACAGACACTACCACATTTTAATTTTTCTTTTTCGGAGAGACAGGGTCTGGCTATGTTGACCAGCCTGGTCTTGAACTCCTGGCCTCAGCTCATTCTCAGCACTTGGAGGCCTCCCAAAGTGCTGGGATTACAGGCGTGAAGCACCTCACCTGGCTCCAAATTTTGGTCAGAATGTAGAGTGACTAGAATTATCAAGTGCTTAGGGGGAGTGCTAAATGGTAAAGAAGAAAAATTAGTCTTTTTTTTTTTTTTTGAGACGGAGTCTCGCTGTCACCCAGGCTGGAGTGCAGTGGTGCGGTCTCGGCTCACTGCAAACACCACCTTCCAGGTTCAAGCAATTCTCTCGCCTCAGCCTCCCAAGTAGCTGGGATTATAGGCGCCTGCCACCATGCCCGGCTGATTTTTGTATTTTTAGTAGAGACGGGGTTTCACCACATTGGCCAGGCTGGTCTCAAACTCCTGACTTCAGGTGATCGACCTGCCTTGCCTCCCAAAGAGCTGGGATTACAAGCGTGAGCCACCGGCCGAAAAATTAGTCTTTTAACTTCATCCAGGAGTAAACTTTTTCTTTTTTTTTTTTTTGAGACAGAGTCTTGCTCTGTCACCCAGGCTGGAATGCAGTGGCATGATCTCGGCTCTGCAACCTCTGCCTACCGGGTTCAAGTGATTCCTATGCCTCAGCTTCCCACGTAGCTGGGATTATAGGCACACACCATCTTGCCTGGCTAATTTTTGTATTTTTAGAAGAGAGGGGGTTTTGTCATGTTGCCCAGGCTGGTTTTGAAATCCTGGCCCCAGGTGATCTGCCTGCCTTGGCCAAAGTGCTGGAATTACAAGTGTGAGCCACTGTACCTGATCATTTTCTTTCTTTTTCTTTTTTTAGACAGGCTTTCGCTCTGTTGCCCAGTTGGAGTGCAGTGGTACAATCATAGTTCACTGTAGCCTCAATCTCCCAGGTTCAAGCAATCCTTACACCTCAGCTTCCAAAGTAGCTGAGACTACAGGCACATGCCATCATGCCTGGCTAATTCTAAAACATGTTTAGTAGAGATTAGGTCTCACTGTGCTGCCCAGGATGGTCTCAAGCTCCTGAGCTCAAGCAATCCTCCCGCCTCAGCCTCCCAAAATGATGGGATTACATGAGTGAGGCACTGCACCCAGCCCAAAGTAAACTTTTAAAACAAGCTTACAACAATCTATAGACTTGAATATTTGAGATGGGACAAACCAATGACACAATGACAGAATGGAATTAAATGAGATTCTAAGATAAATCTGGTTCATGTAAGCTGTAAGGATGAAGCTACTATATATTTGATCATTTAAAGCTGATTAAAAAGAATTACCTGTTTATATTCGTTAATACAACTTTGGCAGCAAAATCTCTTCTGCTGACCTCCAATCACCAGGATGTTGTTTCCAGTACTCTTACTAGGCATGTACTCTCCACAGTGTTCACAGCAGTTCATTATTAGACCATTGGCCAATCTGTACTTATTAAAGCAATGGTTACTGCACAGTTTATGTGTTACATTATTTACGCTGACTTCATGGTGAATCTAAAAGAAAAACCAGAATTCGTTAACTAAGATATATGAACCAGATTAGAAGAGCAAGCAATGAGGTAACTAGTTTAGCACAGCAAGCAATGAGATAACTACTTTCTGTAACAGAAGCAAAGAATCCCTAATCATATCTCAGAGGAAGATATACCCAGGGAAAAGATTTTTTCTTTTTTTCTGAGATGGAGTCTCACTCTGTCACTCAGGCTGGAATGCAGTGGCACAATCTCGGCTCACTACAACCTCTGCCTCCCAGATTCAAGCGATTCTCCTGCCTCACCCTCCCTCCCAAGTAGGTGGAATTACAGGCACCTGCCACCATGCCCGGCTAATTTTTTTATTTTTAGTAGAGATGGGGTTTCATCATGTTGGCCAGGCTGGTATCGAACTCCTGACCTCAAGTGATCTGCCCACCTCGGCCTCCCAACATGCTGGGATTACAGGCATGAGCCACCATGCCTTGCTGGTAAAAGATTTTTTAAAAACATATTTTATTTTTTCCTTTATTTGTAAGATCACTTTGATTTTACAAAAGAGGAAAAGATTAATAGGAAAGCAATACAATCAATAATAACTTCCCGAGAGACATTTAATAACAGATAATGAACTCTACTTTTGAGACAAGTTCTTACTATGTTACCCTGGGCTGGAATTCCTGGGCTCAAGCAAGCCCTCTACTCATGCCCCCTGAGTAGCTCACATTACAGGCTTGCAGCACCACACCTGGCTTTGGTTTAGATTTTGACGTGACCCACTTAAAAGAAACGGGTCACAATCTTTTTTTTTTTTTTTGATAGTGTCTCTTGCTCTATCATCCTGGCTGGAAAACAGTGGTACAATCACAGCTCACTCCACCTCAAACTCCTGGACTCCAGTGATCGTCCTGTCTCAGCCTCCTAAGCAGTAGGGATTATATGTGTGAGTCACTCATCTCCAAGGATCAACAATTTTTAGTCAGTATTTTAAGTCAAGTTCACTGCCCTACAACATTTGCGGAGGGAGCTGAGGGAATCAATATGATCTGTATTCAGGATGGGGACTGTATAACTAGAAGCAGGGTAGTTCTCACGCTGGTAACTGCAATAAAATCATGTCCTTCGTATGCATGACTCAGGGTAACCAACACCAAATTTAGTTACCAAATACTTTATAAAGTGAGGACTGCCTGTATGCATGTTTCTTCTCTTCTAAGAAATGGGAAGACTTAATGTTAAGCAAACAGCATACATTCACTCCACTTGTTCCATGTGTTCTTGTACCAGGATCTGTTGCTTCCTAATTTTAACTTTTAGATTCAGGGGATACATGTGCAGGTTTGTTAGATGGGTATGTTGTTTTTGTTTTTGTTTTTCTTTCTTTTTTTGAGACAGAGTCTTGCTCTATTGCCCAGGCTAGAGTACAGTGGCGCAATCTCGGATCACTGCAGCCTCCGCCTCCCTGGTTCAAGCGATTCTCCTGCCTCAGCCTCCCAAGTAGCTTACGCTACCATGCCCAGCTAATTTTTGTATTTTTAGTAGGGATGGGGTTTTGCCACGTTGGCCAGGTTGGTCTCAAATTCCTGACTTCAAGATATCCACCTGCCTCGGCCTCCCAAAGTGCTGGGATTACAGACGTGAGCCGCCACGTCCGGCCCCAAGGTAGTTTTCCAGCCCTTGACCCCCAACTCCTGAGACTACAGTTTTATTGAATGTCATCAGGAAGAACAAAACCCACCATAAAACAATTGCCTTGTTTATGAGCACAACTAATTCCATGGAAACAGATGTGTACTTTCGATGCTATACAAATGGAATTTTATTTATAAAATATCCCATAGGATAGTTCTAACATATCCTTATTCTTCCTTTCAGCTTCATGTTATACATCCAGAACATGTGCATTATGTAGATGAAAGAGTACATAATAGTACTTAAAAGTTAAAATTATCACTGTTAGCCTAAGCAACTTAGATATAAAAATCCAGACCTCTGCTAATTTACTACAAATTGTACATCTTGACTTATTAAAAACTCCTTTTTTAAGATTCCGGTTGTTTTCACAGGGAGACAAACAAGATGTACTACAAAATTCTTGGAAGGATCTGCTTGATTCTACTGGAAGAACAACATCAGCCTTCTTTGTAGATGCATCTCTGAAACAGAAGGTATAGACACACAATTTAAGAACACTGCATTTTAATACAAGTCAAATATACGAATAATAATTGCCATTTTTCATTTTCTTATGATTTAATACTAGAAATCAAGTATAACTTTGGATGCAGCAAATCCACTTTTGGCTTTATTGCCAAGAGTTCTTAAATGATATAGAACGAGAAGAGTCAGAGATAAAAATCTTTCGTAGCACAAGAACCTTGCCACAAGTTCTTAAGATTTTTAGATGCATTCAAAAATGCTGGTCATAGGTTGGGCACAGCAGCTCACACCTGTAATTCCAGCACTTTGGGAGGCCGAAGTGGGCAGATCACTTGAGGTCAGGAGTTCAAGACCAGCCTGGCCAACACGATGAAACCCTGTTTCTACTAAAAATACAAAAAATTAGCTGAGCGTGGTGGCGGGCACCTGTAATCACAGCTACTCGGGAGGCTGAGGCAGGAGAATCGCTTCAACCTGGGAGGTGGAGGTTGCAGTGAGTGGAAATCGTGCCACTGCACTCCAGCCTGGGCAACAGAGTGAGACTCCATCTCAAAAACAAACCAACAAACAAAAATGCTGGTAATAAATTCATAGAACTAAGGTGTAAGATGGGGAAGCAGGGGAGGCAAATGTAGTAGCAGGGAGGAGGGCAATTAATTTTCATACCTATGTTCCATTTTTCTGCCAAGAGTAAATACAGCACATACTAGTCCACGGCTTGGATATATTCTAGGAGCTCAAGCTCAATGAACTTGAAGACACTCCTGCAACAATTCTACCCATAAATCTATCCAGCTCTGCAATTATATTACTTATTCATACCATTAGTATTCGACTACATGAAGAAATGTTGAAAGGTACTGCTTACTTTTTACATATTACACTTCGTGTGTTTTGAGTACGTTTATGAGAAAAGGAAGAAAGGCAGGTGGTACAGCAAAAGAGGTGAGCTGATCCTTTTCGTTGATAAGCTGTCTGTCCCTTCTGTAAAGGTTTTTTGCAATTTGCACAAGTGATTTTAGCTGGTTTAGTAAGTTGCTGTTGGGCTGTAGGCTGGAAATTCTGCTTACGAAGTAAGGCCACTGTTGATAAAGAATCCACCCCCGGCTGTTTCTGATTACGGGGAAATGAAGCTGACTGGGAGATCCAAGAATCTTAAAAATGAAACAAGAAAAAAATCATGGAACAAATCAAAATGTACATCAGAAAAATAACTTACATTTTCATTTAAGAGTTTAAGAGACAGATGAGGCAGGCGTATAAACATGTGGTTAAGGCCAAACACTCTTGATGCACAATCCCAGGGCAACTATCCACTTTCTATCTCAAGTGAATGATACTCCACTGTGCCAACAATAATAATAAATGTTAGCGTCTGGAATTGTGTAATGTGGTAGCCATCAGCTCTTAAGTCAGACTCCAGGTTCAAATATCTACTGAGCGTAATAGATTATACAAATATACTAACTGAGGACACCTAACTCATCAGAGTGCTATGAAGAACACATGAGATAAAGTAATGCCTGGCACACAGGCACACTCAAAAAATATTAGCCACTTTTTTTTTTTTTTTTTGAGACAGAATCTCGCTCTTTCTCCCAGACTGGAGTGCAATGGCACAATCTTGGCTCACTGCAACCTCTGTCCCCCAGGATCAAGTGAATCTCCTGCCTCAGCCTCCCAAGTAGCTGGGATTACAGGTACACACCACCATGCCCAGCTAGATTTTTTTTTTTTCTATTTTTAGTAGAGAGGGTGTTTCCCTCTCTAATGTTGGCCAGGCTGGTCACGGACTCCTGGCCTCAAGTCATCCATCTGCCTCAGCCTCCCCAAGTGTTGGCATTACAGGCGTGAGCCACCACTCCCAGCCTAATCACATCTGTCTGTCTACTTATACCACTAAACAATCAATCCCTCTCTTTCTATGTATTTCAAGTAAATTGTAGACATTAGTACATTTACTTTCAAAATACTTTAGACATAATAGTTTAATATAAATCTATTATTATTTCCCAGTCTTCTAAAACATTACTTCTCAGGCATTAATCCAGGCTGTGGATTACTTAGGAAAGACTCAGCTTTCCTAGCCTTACACAGCAGCTGCAGTATCATAAATTACTGTTAGCTTCAAAATGGTACAGTATTACTTATAGGTGAGGTGCTTCTCAAATTTTACTGTCCATATTACATCACTTGGGAATCCTGTTTAAATGCAGATTCTAAATTAGTAGGTCTGAGAAGAGATCTGATACTCTGCATTTCTAACCAACTCTCAGATGATGGTGAAGCTTTGAGAAACAAGGCCCTATAATAAAAAATTATTTTGTAATCTCTCTTCAAAAACAGCTTTTGGACAGGTGTTGGACATGATTATAGTCCATGATTATTAAAAATTATTTTGTAATCTCTCTTCAAAAACAGCTTTTGGACATGATTATAGGCTCATGCCTATAATCCCAGCACTTTGGGAGGCTAAGGTGGGAGGATCACTTGAGGCCAGAAGTTTAAGACTCAGCCTAGGCAGGGTGCAATGGCTCATGCCTGTAATTCCAGCACTTTGGGACACTTGAAGCCCAGGAGTTTGAAACCAGCCAGGTAACAAGGCAAAACCCCATCTCCACAAAAAATAAACAAAATTAGCTGGGTGTGGTGGCGCTCGCTTGTAGTCCCAGCTTCTCACTCTGTTGCCCAGTCTGAAGTGCAGTGGCATGATCACAGCTTACCGCAGCCTTGAACTCCTGGGCTCAAGCGATCCTCCCATCTCAGCTTCTTGAGTAGCTGGGACAACAGGTGCATGCCATCACATCTGGCTAATTTTTTTATCTTTTGTAGAGACAAAGTCTCACTCTGTTGCCCAGGCTGATCTTGAACTCCAGCACTCAAGCGATCTTCCTGCCTCGCTCTCCCAAAGTGCTAAAATAATAGGCGTGAGTCACCACACCTAGCCACTTTTTTTATTTTTATTTTTTGAGACAGAGTCTTGCTCTGTTGCCCAGGCTGGAGTGCAGTGGTGCGATCTCGGTTCACTGAAAGCTCCGCCTCCCAGGTTCACGCCATTCTCCTGCCTCAGCCTCCCGAGTAGCTGGGACTACAGGCGCCTGCCACCATGCCCAGCTAATTTTTCGTATTTTAGGTAGAGACGAGGTTTCACTGTATTAGCCAGAATGGTCTCGATCTCGTGACCTCGTGATCCACCCGCCTTGGCCTCCCAAAGTGCTGGGATTATAGGCGTGAACCACCGCGCCCGGCCCACCTGGCCACTTTTTACTTTTTTTTTTTTTTCGAGACAGAGTCTTGCATTGTCACCTGGGCTGGAGTGCAGTGGCACGATCTCGGCTCACTGCAACCTCTGCCTCCCAGGTTCAAGCAATTCTCCTTGCCTCAGCCTCCCAAGGAGCTGGGATTACAGGCACACACCACCACGCCTGGCTAATTTTTGTATTTTTAGTAGAGATGGGGTTTCACCACATTGGTCAGGCTGGTCTTGAACTCCTGACCTCGTGATCCGCCCACCTCAGCCTCCCAAAGTGCTGGGATTATAGGCCTGAGTCATTGCGCCTGGCCTATTTTTATATGAAAAATTACAACAATCTGTGAGGCTCTGGATGATGTTAGTATTTCAATCCATAGGTCGGAAGGCGGTTTTTATCAGTACTCCTCTTAGTGAGTCCTCAGTGTCTACTGAAAACTCCATTTAGCTTCTCTGCAGCCTTTTCTGGAACTGAATGCATATTCAATAGGGAAAAACAGCCCCAGTTCTTCTCTCAGATCTTGGAACCCTAATTTTTCCATTTGTTATTTGTAGCTCTTGATGTCTTTAAACAGATACTTTACACATTTTGTCATTTTTTCCCCAATTATTCTCAGCAAGAGGGATAGGACTTAGCTAGGTATCAGAAGTGCAACTCCCTAGAGTATCATGGTCAGAAATGTTTATAATGCAACAAAAATATGACAGATGTAAGAGCAAATTCTAAGTTTAGGTATTTTCTCTCATGAGCTTTTTTTTTTTTTGTACTGTTTATACAACAGTATGTGAGAACTGGAGAACTTTCACTGAAACACAGTATACTCTAAAAGTTAAAGAAAGAATTAAATGGTCCTTTCTAACAAATATAACCCTATTTTCTTTTTTTTTTTTTTTTTTTTTTGAGACAGAGTCTCGCTCTGTCCCCCAGGCTGGAGTGCAGTGGCACGATCTCAGCTCACTGCAAGCTCTGCCTCCCGGGTTCACGCCATTCTCCTGCCTCAGCCTCCCAAGTAGCTGGGACTACAGGCGCCCGCCACCTCGCCCGGCTAGTTTTTTGTATTTTTAGTAGAGACGGGGTTTCACCGTGTTAGCCAGGATGGTCTCGATCTCCTGACCTCGTGATCCGCCCGTCTCGGCCTCCCAAAGTGCTGGGATTACAGGCTTGAGCCACCGCGCCCGGCCCATAGTCTTTCTATTAAAGTTGTTTTTGTTTTTTTTTTTGGAGACAGAGTCTCATTCTATCAACTCAGGCTGAAGTGAGTTGAGGCTCAGCTCACCGCAGCCTCCATCTCCAGGGTTCAAGCGATTCTCCTACCTCTGCCTCCCAAATAGCTGAGATTACAGGCGTACACCACCATGTCCGGCTAATTTTTGTATTTTTAGGGACAAGGTTTCACCACGTTGGCCAGGCTGGTTTGAACTCTTGACCTCAAGTGATCCACCCTCCTCGGCCTCCCAGGGTGCTGGGATTACAGGCATGAGTCACCGGGCCCAGCCTTCAGCTACTTTTTTGTATTTTAGTAGAGACAGGGTTTTACCATGTTGCCCAGGCTGGTCTCAAACTCCGGAGCTCAGGCAATCCGCCCGCCTTGGCCTTCCAAAGTGCTAAGAGGTTACAGGAGTGAGAGACACCACGTCCAGTCTGTTAAAATTTTTAAGTCACAAATGCATCAGGTGAAGAGAAAATATCTGAAACGGCCAGGCAGCGTTGTGGGCCTGTAATCCCAGCTACTTAGGTGGCTGAAGTGGAAGGATTGGTTGAGCCCAGAAATTCAAGGCCAGTCTGAGCAACATATGGAAACCCTGTCTCCACCCCAAACCAAAAAAAATCAAATATAGTGTTAAATTAATGAGATGAAGGGATGACAAGAATAAAAATAAATCCAAGAGTAATCAAAACCTCTTTCAAACAACGTTGATAATTCTCAATTATGCCTACAATTTGAGTGAAATGACAGTATAGTAGCTAACTACAGATTTTTTTTATTTATTTATTTTTTGAGACAGAGTCTTGCTCTATTGCCCAGGCTGGAGTGCAGTGGCGCAACCTTGGCTCACTGCAACCTCCGCCTGCTGGGTTCAAGCGATTCTCCTGCCTCAGCCTCCTGAGTAGCTGGGATTACAGGGGCTCGCCACCACGCCTGGCTAATTTTTGTATTTTTTGTAGAGACGGGGTGTTGCCATGTTGGCCAGGCTAGTCTCCAACCCTGGCCTCAAGTGATCTACCCGCCTCAGCCTCCCAAAGTGCTAGGATCATGGGTGTGAGCTACCGTACTGGAATGTTTTTGTATAGTGAAATATCAGTCTATATTATGATTCTATACTAAAAAACATCTATTAACCCAAATATACAATGTTAATTTACTCCAGAATGTGAAAAATGGTCTTGAAGACTAAAACATAAAAGAAATATATAGCAAGGCTTCTAGTTTTAAACTCCATGAAAGAGCTTTTATTTATATAAGATGGAATTCATACTTACTTACATAAACATGAATGACATCTAAAACAAACAATAAATATCTAAAATGTAAGAAATTATTTTAAAACAAAGAGTGAAAGAAATAAACAGGTATGGTGTGGTGGTTCATGCCTATAATCCCAGCACTTGGAAGGCCAAAGCAGGTGGATGGCTTGAGCTCACAAGTTCGAGACAAGCCCGGGCAACATGGAGAAACCCTACCTCTACAAAAAATACAAAAATTAGCTGGGCACAGTGGCACACGTCTGTAATCCCAGCTACTAGGGAGGCTGAGGCGGGAGAATGGCTTGAACCTGGGAGGCGGAGGTTGCAGTGAACTGCACTCTGGCCTGGGTAACAGAGTGAGACTCTGTCTCAAAAAAAAAAAAAAAAGAAAAAGAAAAAAAAAGGGCCAGGCGCAGTGGCTCATGCCTGTAATCTCA